ATATATATATAATATCTTAAGAAACAAAAACTGATAAAAAAAATCCTGAGGAACAATTTTTTTAATAGTTAAAATATTGTTAGAAATATGTCCTAAAGGAATCTAAAATTATTATTATTAAAATTATTCATTAATTTTTTTAACAATCATTTATTGATGTGAAATATCTTCCAATTTTGTTAGTGACTAAATTTTATTGACTAATATTTTTAATGAAATCTCTCATTTTAACTATATTTTTTTTCATCTATAAAATTAAAACTAAAAATATTAATTAAGGAGATTATCTCCAATTTTACATACGATTTTGTTACTATATACAACAGTTTTATAATAATAAATATAATAAAAATAAAAATATTATATAAAATATTGTATATCTTTCTATGACGAATAATTTTTTATATTTATAACGATATATAAACACGATATAATCTCTTATGTACACATTTTTTTTTATAGCATTGTTATTTTCACAAATATTCTTAAATAATTCATTTTATATAACAAACTACTTACTATTTTGCAACTTCCATTATTTTTATTTCTTAGTCGGAGGAACCGGAAGCAATGATGAGATTTTTCTTTCTTTTTAAAAATGAGTTTGGGTTGAAGAGTGAAATTGATTCACACTTTTTTTCATCTTTAAAAAATACACATAGACACGTAGTGTTTTATTTATTTATTATTATTTTTACGTTGGTTATTATAATTATAATAATGTGAAGTAAGAAGAAAGAAGGAGACGAGAGTATATGGAGAGTGACGTATGAAGAGATTCCAATTTGAATTTGGCAAAGCATGAAATGAAAGAAAGAAACCCAAGGCGAAGGAGCACGTTAAAGCAGAGAGTAGACGTTTTGGGGGACCAAAGCATCAAATCAAAAGCCGACCACACTGCACCCGCAACGATGTGCAGACATAGATCCATCTCTCTCCACTTCCTAGATTACCGCCACGTGTTTCATCTCTGCACCTCAAAAGACCATGCTACCCTCACTCTCTATTTTCTCTACCTTGCAACACCACGCACAATTATATATTAATATTATACATGAGGTCCAAATCACTATCTTTTTTTTTATTTTATTTTTTTATATCAATATCTTGTTGCTTTAAAATGCCCACAAAATATTATCAATTCTGTATTACCTATTAGATGAATGTTAAAAATACACGTGTTTAATATTTATTGATTTTATTAGTTAAGAAAGGTACCATACCCTTTAAATTATGACGGCAAAAAAGAATATAACTTTTCTTTTTTTTCTTTTTTCTTTTTCTCTCAGTTATCTGTGTACACATATTTTATGATAAAATCTTATAATGGCCTAAGAAAGAATGTGAATGGAATTTTGCGGAGCTTCATATTCCATGTATATGGTGGACTCATACATCATGTACCTCCTGTACTTATGCACAGATGGTGATTGCTGTCCTGTAATAATAATCCAAAAGCCATTACACCACAAGAGAAAAACACATGCCATGGTTCATCATGACTTAACCATAATTTCACCTCATTGACAATCTGGGTAGGTTATAAATCAAGGGAAAAATTCATATATCATATGATTGCACTACAAACCTTAAAAGGTTTAGAGCCTCATGTAAAATATATCCGCCATGAATGCAGTATGACTTTTGGGGTAATTCACCAAGACTTTGCAATGCACGTCATCACTCTCATGTTGCCCTAGCCCAGAACTAATTACAATTAATGACTAAATATAAATAAAAAGTCCTATATATCCTAGATACATCATACATAATGTATATAGAATTGATATCGATGCTGTCCACTTTCTATGTACAGTCATCAATAAAAACAAAACACTTCCGCTGGAAATTTCCCATTATTATTTATTTTTTTCTTTAAGTTTCTTTTAAGTGTTTGTTATTTATGTTTTTTTTAACAATATAATCGGTAGACGACTCAGCCAGAGTACTATCTTAGTTAATTAAAGGTTAACTCACTAAGTCACTAATTCATCTGCATAACTCAATCTATATTAAAAAATTATAAATAATTAATAACATATAAAATTTATATTTCAAAAAGATATTATAAACAAGTAAAAATATATTATAAATTTTTTTATGAATAGGGACATTAAAATTTTTAAGATTATAAACATTTTAATCAAATCAAAATCACAGTAACTAAATAACATAATAAACAAAAATTAAAAAATTAAAAACTCATGCACAAGTAAGTAGCAACAGAGTAGTCATCACCTAGTTCAACTAACAAACAATAGACAAAATAAAAAGTAAAATAAAATCATGTACTAGAGCAAGGTCGCGTTGTTGTGTGATGAGCAGATAACAAACTCATCGTCGTACGGGGATAATAGATGATGAATGATGACAAACACTAAAGGTTGTGCCGGTGTACAATAAGAAAATAATGAACGGATCGAGCTAACAAGATCACATCGTCGTTGTCAAAATGCGTGATTATGAGAGAGGAGAGACAACAAACATTGTACAGCGCAATTAGAATTGTGCGATAAAAGAGAATCACAAATGAAGGAAACGAACAAATAAATGAAAGCTACAAATGTAGTAT